TAACTTAGTCTTAATGGGCACTACCTTTAAACTACTTAGTATTCTTGTACTGCGCACTTTATCCTTTCTTGTTACCCCAGCAATCTTCCTCAGCATTCTCATCTCCATGGTTTGTAGACTTCTCTCGTCTGATTCTTTGGTTGGCCATCTTTCCGAACTATATAGAATAGTTGGTTGTATTATGGAACTGTAAATTTTTCCCTTTAATTTGTGTGGGATTCTTTTATCAAATAGCACTCCAGATAAAGATCTCCACTTTAACCACCCTTGATTAATTTTACTCTTTATCTCTTTTTCTATTGTGCCGTTTGTTTGTATAGTGGAGCCCAAATATTTGCATCTTTCAATTGCCGATATCTGCCATTCATTTATATCAATACTCTCTGTTTCATCTCCTCCTATCACCATATACTCCGTCTTTTCTCTATTTACTTTTAGTCCGTGCTTTTCTAGAATATTTATCCAATTCACTAATCTTTCTTCCATTTCATCCTTGGATTCGGCAAGTATCACAATTCATCTGCAAATATCATATTCCACGAGACTGTTTGAGGTATAGACTGTGCTAATACATCCATTACTGTAATGAAGAGAAGTGGGCTGAGAGCCGACCCTTGATGAACTCCTTCGGCTATTGTGAAGCCTGCTGAAGTACCTGTTGTGCTACCGACCATTGTTGTATGGCCCATATACATATCCTTTCTTATATATTTTTCGGGAACTTTTTTGTGGCGTAGCGCACACCAGATAAGTTTTCTTGGGATTCTATCGAAGGCCTTTTCTAGATCGAGAAAGACCATGTGTAGCTTTTTGTTCTTTTCTCTGTATTTTTCACTCATTTGCCTAATTGCATGGATAGCATCGGTTGTTGATCTTCCAGGCATAAAGCCAAACTGTGTCTCTCCTATTTCGATTATATCTCTTAATCTTTTTTCTATTATTTTTTCGTGTAGTTTTAGACAGTGTGACATTAGTTTTATGCCCCTGTAATTTTGACAATTGTGTGGATCCCCTTTATTTTGAAGATAGGAACTAGATAGCTCTTCCTCCATTTTTGGGGAACCTCTTCATTTCCAAGTATTTTATTGTACAGATTTGTGAGGAGATGTATTCCATCATCTCCTAGTGCTTTAAGGCTTTCTATTGGAATATCGTCTGGACCCCTAGCTTTGTTGTTTTTCATATGCTTGAGGCATGTGATTATTTCTTGTTCCGTTATAGGTTGTACAAGGTTTTGACAAGGGGAGTGTTCATCGAGATGCAATATGTGGGAATTAAAGTTGAGAAGCTCCTGAAAATATTCTTTCCATCTATTCATTATTTGATTTTTATCTTCAATCCTGTTGACTTCTACTACTGAGGAGGTTAGATCTTGACTGAGGATGATGCCGACACCGTTCCTATTGCTAACATTTCCATTATAGTACAATTTATACCAATCTCCAATCATCAAAGTCTTCTGTCCCTTCTATTTCGTTGCCAATTCTCTCGCCTTACCTTTAGGCATCCCAATATTCAAACTTGCTAATCTTGTTATCTTTGCTTTGACCGTTACTTTACTTTTCACAGGATGGAGGTCTACACCCTGCGCGTCGCTTGGAGGGAACGCCCTAGCTTTCATATTCATATTTCCATTTGTTTCCTTCATTTTGTTTATTGGACAGGTATCCTTAGCACCCAGCTGCCCAGGCCTGTCGGTGACCGGGGTGTCATCTCTAAGCTCCGAAATTCATCTTACCATATGTCTTTACACATCAGTCATCGAAGAAAAACTTGAAAGTTTTTATGCTCCTTACCAGGATTGAACCTGAGTCCTTCTTCGTCCTTCTGTTTCTAAGCATACACCTAACCCATTAGGCCACCCCGGCGATAAAAAAATTACATCTTTAACTAAAATGGGTAAATTATATATATGACGTTAAACCACACTTGCTTAAACAACCACCAAAATTAATTAACATGCAATAAGGGCCAGTTATTTTTTAATATTTATATTGAAGGAATGACCTGATCTAATCCCATGGACGGATCTACCAAGTTAGCTTAGGAAAAAAAGATGACCCTTACTGGATTCGAACCCCGGACCATAGGATTGTAATACAGGCACTGAACCGACTAGGCCATATACATTTCTCAAAATCATCAAATTTTTTTTCCTATCTTCTAAAATCTTTGAAAAAAATAAAATACGATAGGAAATAAAGCCTGAGAGGTGAGTTTTTTATTAATGATAATAATTACATACGCCGATTCTCAATTAACACCGATTCGTAGTGACGCGACCGCAATCGCTCCGCTACGAATTCTAGGTTATGCGGCGAACTCAATATTATAGACAGATAAATATTTGTCTAAGAATGGAGATTTCGCTAATAGATGTTCAAACTATTGTGCCAGCTATGAGCGAAATTTTTAGACTTGAGTAATATTTTCTGGAAAAATTATTAAAATTAGGGCTTAAATCGAGCAGTTTAACTACCTTAGGAGGTGTAATAACCAAAGATGGTTTAGGCTCAAAGAGACCCCCTTTTCTCCAAAAATAATGGTTATGACTATGAGGATAGACTTATAAATTTTATTCAAATATTTTTTTTGAAATATTTGTATTCATTATTTTTAAAAAAAACAAATCGAAAAATAATCCCATAGTGGATGATAATAATTTATAAAAACTTTTCAGCTTTTAATAATAACTTTTAACTGCCTCGTGAACCATATTATTGTCGAAGGTTGCATGATCTAAGTTATTTTAAATATATCCTAGATTCAAACCAGGAAGGTTTAAGTCAAATTATAGTCTAGAAATTTAAAGTTAGTAATTTCTCGTTAACTTATTTTGATGCAAAAAATAAGAATTTCTCATTCAAATTGTAGCAAAAATTTCGTTTCTTTCAACTGAAAGAATCATTGAACGTTAGGAATAAATAATTTAGCCAATATTTAAATAAAAACGAAAAAAAAACAAAAAAAAAGAAAAAAAAAGAAAAAAACGAAAGAAACAAAAAAAAACGAAAGAAACATAACCAAAAAAAACGAGAATAAAATATGAAAAATAACAATGCCATCAAATACTTAAAAAAATACTAAAAGAGGTGTCCTAGTTCAAATGCTTTTTAGCGAGATAGTAAAAAGCGATTAAGTATCAAAATTAAATTGATCCAAATTTCAGACCTTAAGGCTCATAAAAAATGCAGAGAAAGTTATTTCTTATTGCTCAGATTAAAAAAAAAACTTTTGCCAATAAAAATTACAAATATCTTAAGTGTAAATCTGAAATCTCAAATTAAAAAACGATGAATCTATAGGAAAAATATATGAAATGCTCTGTAAATCTACTTAGATTTTTTGAAAATACCTAAAACGACCAGAAAATTACTTTAGATTTTGTGAAAATTAGGGTTTAGATTTAATGATAAAAATTATTTAAGATAAAATGTATTTTATTGAATATCATAAATTCTAATATTTTTCAAAATATAAATACCTTAATATGGCAGATTTTGACAAGATTGCTTTAAAATGTAATACCATTTTATATATTTAATAAATTTTATTCAAATGTAAAATTTAAAAAAATAATAAACATTACTAAGGTGAGCTGTATAGTAGTAACGGTAACCCCAGGGCCTAGCGTAAATGAAAGGGGTTAAAACTAAAATTTATTTATTTTTTATCTAAATATTAACGATTGATAATTTTATTTTAATCAATGTTTCAGTAATGATTTATTTGTGTTTTCATAATTTCAAACATTTGTATAAGAAATATTATGTTAATAATATAAAAAAAATGAACATATAAATAAAATTTATACAATTTAAATTATCATCATAATTATTATAATAAACTAATAAATAATTTTAAATATTTTAAATAGTATAATTATATGTAAAAAAAATTGCTTTAGTAAATCTCAAAAATCTAGAATACTATAATGAACCAGGCGCATCTCTCTTTCTACAGCAAAAATGCATATTGATATGTTCTATGATTTCCATTTTGGAAACCATCTAAAAATAGTTTGCCATAATATTTAAACCGTTTTATCATTATATATTTTTAAATTTTTAATGCTCTTAAAGTAAATATTATTTTTTTCTTTAAAATATAGTTTTTATTGTGACAAGATATTTTATTTAATAAATAAAAATACTTAATTAATTTTTAATATTATGTGTATTATTATATTTCTTCAAAAAAAATGGTCAATATCTATTATAATTAAATCTATGGCCCTCCTAAAATATAGATTTTAAGAGCTGCAAAAATTCACAACTATTAGCACATTGTTTTAACATAATTTTTTCCAGCAATGTCAAACTTTCTACGAAATTGAAATCTTCAATATTTTCTGGGAAGGGATTTTTTTTGTGGCTTTCAATTGCATCGAGATCAAAGATGTGCTGTAATTTATAGTCGAAAATGTTTCTAATCAAGTAATGTAACCAATATACGTTGGTGTAGGGATCATAAATCTTCCAATCATTGCTGTATAAGTTTGAATTTTAAAGCAAAATAAATATATAATATATAATTTATAATATATATGATATCAATTAATATGGATCTTATATCACTGGTTCTGATTTTCCTGAAAAATTAAGTATGTTTATGAGTAGTTTAATATATTCTTATTCTGACCTTTGTTTATTTTTATGTACATAGGCCTCACCCCTTTCCGCTAAATTATATAAATTTTTTCAATATATATATGTATATAGGATAACTTATTAATCTCTCTCATGCGTCTGTATACGTCATATTGGTAATCGCCTTTGTGTGCAAATAATTCAATTTGCTGGGATAAATCTTTAAAATAGACCGCGCCATCTAAGAAGCCAACAAAATTAGTTTTACGATTAAAATATATTTTAATTATTATATAGATAATATTTTATTCATACGAAAGAAAGAAAGAAAGAAAGAAAGAAAGAAAGAAAGAAAGAAAGAAAGAAAGAAAGAAAGAAAGAAAGAAAGGTAAAAAGAAAGGAAAGAAAAAATTAAAAATAATTTTTACCGATAGTCATTCTCGAGAAAGAGAAATCTATGATAGAAATTTGTATCCCGAAAGATAAGATCGTAATATTTTCCAATTTACCAGATCCTTCATAAAGTATTGTTGTATCGTGCGGTACTTTTTTAATCTGTTATCATTGTTTTTATTCGACATATATATATTTTTTAATACAATATGATATGTGCAAGAGTTTAGCATAGTGTTGATAAATAGCTCGATTTGAATTCTTGAAAAACTGCGAACTCAATATTTTAGCCAGAAAAAATATTGCATATGCCTCGATATTTCGCGAACAGCTGTCCAAACCTTTTGCGCCATCTATGAGCAAAATATTCGGGGTTGCCTAATATTTTTTCCAGATAAAACATAGAGAGTCGACAGTTTTTTAAATATAGGCTACAAGTCAAACCGTTATAACAACATTGGGTTATTCTAAAATTTATCGATTCTTTTAACTTTATTTAAAACGTGGGCTATGAAATGAATTTACTTTAAAAATTTGTTTTTTAAAAAAAAAAAACCACACAAAGACAATAAATAATACTGTTGTATTATGCAAATTTAGTTTAAAAAATAGTTGTACTTATATTTGTTATATGCAAAGATAAATTTTAAATTTTTTATATTTTAGGGAATAACATTAATTTAAATGATGGATTTTTATTTTATATGTTTATTTCTTCGAAAAATTATTATGTTTAATATTCAAATGATTATAAAAAAAATGAATATATATATTGTTCAATTATTTCAATAAAAAACAGTTAGTTGGAATTTCATAGAAAAGATAAATTGTTTTGTGTTCATTATAGAATCCTAATTTATTGATAGAAAGAAAAGATTCAGGGTCTTCTACCAACAAAAAAGGTAATACAGTTATTTAATAAAAATAATTAATTAAAGGAGTTTATATCAAATTATTTTAGGTTCGTTGAATAGTAAGTGTTTATTAATTAAATTATTATTAAGATTAATCCTTTATTTTATATAGATTTTATTTATCTTGATTCCTGATACGCTCTCCCAAATAACATCAAGCCCCTGAGCAAGTTTGGATTTGTAACAAATACAATGATAATAAAAAAAAACGAACATAAAACATAATTTTATTTTTAAATTTAAGTTTTTTTTTTGAATAATCTTAAAATTTTTTTTAGGTCTTTACAACTGGAGATATTAATCAGGATCGATTAGCGGGTACTTAACTCAAATAAGTGTGTCCCCCGGGGCCTCTTAACAGCGGTCAAATTATTGCGTCGTTAAAATAGGGTATCTTCGGGTAGAGGTGGGGTACCCCCCTTAGTCAAAATAACCGAATTATATTCATCTTATAGTTGAATTTTTTTTAACCCTAACCCTAATCGTTATTGACCTGCCTTAAGTATTAATTTATTGAAGGCACATACGAATATAATTCAATTATTCGCTATTCGATTTCGTATTTATTACGGATTCGAATAACACCATTTCGAATTTTGCCTGGTCTAGTTAGAATATAAGATGCTTTGAAACGATAATTTTTTTACGACAAATTCAAAATTTTTAAAATTGATAAATATAAGACACCGAATATCAAATTTAAGTCAACATAAGGGTCATCGCCCTTTTCGTTTTTCAGGAATGACAGAGTTACGTTGGATCCCTCATTCTGCTGTCTAAATTGGTGATATTTTATGAGAGAAATTTTAGGATTAGGGTTAGGGTTAGGGTAGTCATTGAGGCTGCAGTTACCTGAACGCAGGAGACAAAGCAACTTATTTTTTAGTGGCATTATGGGGTAGAAAGGAGTATTCGAAATAGTAAAAATATGATCAAAAAAAACAAATCATGAAACAGAAGGTCGCTTATCAAATCAACAAATTCTTATAATCATTTAGAAAAATCAGATATCCATTAGAATATCTCACAGTAATAAACCCTAGCGATAATTTAATATCTAAGACCTTTAGATACAAATGTGCTTATAAGAAATCAAATCTTATCTTTTAACAAAGGGTATATAGCGGGAAGAATTATATGGTAACTCATATGCAGCAAAGTATGTTTAGAGTTTACTTCTTTCTTTTTCTAGTACTTTAAGTAGATATTAATTATTAATGTGTGCATCATACAGAATATATAAACACAATTATAAATCTTTGGTGCAATAGTTAATCTAACCCTTCACAAATGTTTTAAACATTCGGTCCTCAATCCTGATATTTCACACTTAATTACAGATATAATCTTATAGTTTCTTCAATATCGTAAAATATCATCCTGACTTGAAGTATGTTATAAGATTTTGAACTTCAAGTATATCATTTCAAAGCTCGCGTAATATATTTTCAAATTTATTTTGCATGTTTGAATTGGCAGTAATGTTAATTAATATATATTTTAGAAATCGAAAATTATTTAATAATTTTACTCCCTTTCAAATTTATACATAGTTATAATGATATATGATTCAATAATATAATGTAAATAATAACCAGCACGTTGCCCATGTGTAAATCCCTGTGTTCAAAATTGTAAATAATTTCTTTGCGACATAACGCGACAGAAAGTTGATACAAGAAGCTCAATATTTCGTATTTGCTAGCAAACTAAACGTTTTAATAAAAACAAATAAATTTAAAAGATAAACGATCATATTTAATAATAATAATAATATTCAAATTATAAAAAAATAAATTCAATATTCAAAAAAAATCTAACAAGAAGAAAGTGAGAATTAATTCTTAGGATATTATTAGTAATAAAAATCTGTTTTTGCTAAAAAAAATATACAACCCTTTTAACTAATCAATAGTGTTTTTAAACTGCTAACTCAATATTTTATCCAGATAAATATTATGCAAGCCACAAGAATTTGCTCAGAAGTGGCACAAAGATTTGAACATCTATCAACGAAAACTCGAGGCTTAGAGAATATTTTTCTGGTTAGAATATTGAGCTAGCCATTAGCCCTTATAACAACACTACACAAATCAAAATCAGCAGTTTCTAAAATACAAGTTAGAAAGAACAAAAATGTAAAAGAATAAATTGCGAAAAATAATAAAATTAACAAACTCGGTATCTTTCGAATGCTTGTCCACCGTACTCTTGTTCATACACTAAATATATTTGTTCTTCGGGATAAATGTCTAAATAAAAATGAAAGACTTGAAGGAAAAAAAATTCTAGACAAGTGTCATATGAGGGAAGCACACTTGAGGGAAGTGTGCGGGACTTAACGACAGGGTACATATGTATATATACCACTCCTGGCTCATATAGAGTTTTTGTTATAAACCTATTGGCAATCTAGGCAGAAAATGTTACATTTATTAATAATTTATGTTAAAATCTAATAGACATAATTATTTTTTTTTATAACCATAGATAGATTACAATGATAGCACCTATTAGCGTTACTTTTGCTAGTATGCCATGACTATATGTCATTGTCTCTCATCTGCCTTAATCATATCAAACATCAAGTGAAGATGAAAATTAAATTATATTTCAAATAAATATTATATATCATATAATTTTCTTGATTATCATTTAAATATGAAAAGTCTGATTTTTGCTTGAAATGTATTCTAGCAATGCTTAAAATACAGACCTATCTTATAGAATTTCAAACATATCTATAAGATATTAGCCATATTTGTCTCTTTGAGGCGCATTTGTCTGTATAACATGGTAATAAATTAAGTCACATTTATATTTTATATTATAGTTCGTGTGAAAATTTCGATAAATCGAAAATTGATATATAGAAAACACAAACTTGGTCTTTGATTCTGACAAGTTATCGCCCCATGTTTGCCTTTGTATATGTCCCATGCTTCAAACAACTCCTTCGGAAATTTCCCCGAACAATAATAAGTGCTTTCGAGGCAATAATAATTGACATAAATTAATCATTAAACCCTTTCTTTAATAAAAACGGGAGAACTCGTATAATTGGTTTTCCTATGTCAAATAATTTATAAATCAAAAAGGTTTATTACACTTTATTTTATCCACAATCTTATCTATATTATTAAATTTAAATTATAATTATTATTCAAAGAAAATTTCAAAGTTTTATTTTTTTTGTTAAGATGGCCAAAAATAAGGCCAAAAATTGCTTCAATTATTACAAAGATAATCATCTTGTAGATATCCTCTTCAGAAAAATTTCATATTTAAATCCGCAAATTGAATAAAATTTTGAACTTCTATTTTGAAGCAAATATTTTTTTTAAAAAAACATAAATACATATTTATATATATAATACTTTAAATCCTTGATAAACCCGGAAGTCTTTACGAAATTTCCTTTGTCATCGGTTCCATTAATTTTGCTAAGTTCTTGAGGCGGAAGAGCATCAAGACTACTCAGACTCCTGGAAAAAATTACGATATATGTTTTCTAATGTTAAAAAAAAAGAAAATGTAAAAAATTACCGCGAAATTATGACTTCGTACATTAATTCGATGTAAGTCTTAGAATATTCTATTCTATCTATATCGGTGTCAATCGGAATTATCTATGGAAAAAATATTGTAAATTTTCTGAAATTAAGCTGTTTTTTTTAAAATTACTTCCGCAATACACAATAAACTATATATATACCAATGACATGTATAATACCTAGACTGACGATTCATTCATTAAAATGCATTTTTAAGCGTCGTTTAAAACAAATCAGCTGGACCCGCCATTTTGTTAACGCATATGGTAATTATTCTCATGTTAAAAAGTGCTATTAAATTGCTAACTTGCTTCCTTATTATCTCGATGATCCGGTAATTCTTTAATAAAGTTTGCATCAGATATAAGCAATAAATTAAGCTCTCGTTTAAAATTTTAATAATGATTAGTGTAACCAAAGATGGCGTCTCCAGCTGATTTGCATTTGATGTACACTTTTAATGAATGAATTGTCAATCTAGGTGCTATATATGTCATTAATATAAACATAATTAAACCCAAATGCTAAGACCCTTTAAATTTTGAATCTTATTTATATTTAGGAAACATAATATGTATTTAAAAAAATTTGAAAGTAAAAACGATGAATGAATGATAAACTAAACCCCTATCCTCATGCGAGAAAAAGTATCTGTGTTGCCTCTCTATCTAAAACAATACCCGGATTATTCACCTTGAGAACGGATAGTGAGATTTTTATTGACATCTTCTTGGGCATCCATCTCGAGTTCTTTGGGAACATTGACGAGAACAAAATCTTCGGAATAACTGCCTTCTCCGATCTTAATGAACTTTGAGATTTGGCTTCAAAGGATAGGAAGGGATTTTGAGGATTATAAGTAAAATTTAATGATTAATTTGGGTATTCTTATCCAATGACATAAGCATGTGATACACTAAATAAAAGCATGCGTACATTGAAGTCAGATGCAGTTAATGTCGTTGGCTTAAATTTCATTGAAAGGTATTTTGTCTAAATGTCTTTCAATGACAGCCATAAATATATACTTTTTTAATGCATTTTAATGAAAGGTGTATTAATGCCATTGTTCTTAACGATTAAAAATCTTTCTTTCTTTCTTTCTTTCTTTCTTTCTTTCTTTCTTTCTTTCTTTCTTTCTTTCTTTCTTTCTTTCTTTCTTTCTTTCTTTCTTTCTTTCTTTCTTTCTTTCTTTCTTTCTTTCTTTCTTTCTTTCTTTCTTTCTTTCTTTCTTTCTTTCTTTCTTTCTTTCTTTCTTTCTTTCTTTCTTTCTTTCTTTCTTTCTTTCTTTCTTTCTTTCTTTCTTTCTTTCTTTCTTTCTTTCTTTCTTTCTTTCTTTCTTTCTTTCTTTCTTTCTTTCTTTCTTTCTTTCTTTCTTTCTTTCTTTCTTTCTTTCTTTCTTTCTTTCTTTCTTTCTTTCTTTCTTTCTTTCTTTCTTTCTTTCACTCTAAATAAATATCTATTTTATATGTGTCATAAAATAAATACAATCATTTTGAACTCAGGAAAGTTTATCTCTTCCATCCTATCCTCGATAAATTTTTGAAAAGGAATAGGATTCCATATATCATTCACCGTTAGCAATTCAATTATAGGCAGCATATGTGAGAAGTTATCATCTTCTGATTCCTGAAATATATTAATATTTTCTTATATTTAAAATAAAATTGATATCGTATTCATCGAATATAATTAAATTTAAAATTAATCCTATGAAATAAAAAGCCCCTATTTTGGTTCATCTTATTTCTATAATAGCATGTTGTTTAGCCAGTTATATACTTTCCTCTAAACAACTTAAAAAGAAAAATTAAAAGGCATAAATTACCATCTAAATTGAAAAAATAATATATTTATTTAATGGTTTCTAGCAAATATATAAACTTAGCTAGTTTACGAACTAGCATATCCAATTAAAACACACCAAAAAAGGGTGGCCTAGTTCAAAATCTGCATAGCCTGTTGAGCTAAACAAAAATAAGTTTAAAATTAGACAAACCAGGACAAGGCTTCAACGATTCACTTAACTAATATTAAAGAAGACTTTTCCATCGAAAATAAGGGAAAATTTAAATTATTTCTTAACTGATTTTACTATACTATTTTCCAAATCTTATTATATAATCTAGTTAAAACTCGTTATTACCGGACGATTCAGAAAAGAATACCTATCATATTTGAGTGGAATTTTTTATAAAATTATTTTTAGATCGGCTGAAAAATACCATATTTTTTAAAAAAATAAGTAATTTAGGTTGGAAAAATTCTGATCAATAATTGGTTTATATAGCATTTATTCAAAATTTAAAAAAATAATCAAATCAATAATTGAAAATGGCAATTTTTGAATGTATGTATTAATGTATACTACACTGTATCAACTATTCAAATGGCTGTATGCTGTAGGGAGGATTAAATTAATGTTTTTGGAGTATCTTGATGAACTTAAAATAAATTATGCTAATAAATCTAATACTATACTATTTTTTCATACAGAAGTAAAAATTTAGCCTATTTAGACCTGTGCACGTATATCTGGCGGTACCAGCTTTTAATAATTTTATAGGTCATTACTCGTCACACCTAAAAATTATTTTGATATATATAGATCATATTTATTTATTGGTTAGACCAAATTAAATACACTGTAAATGGAAAGAATAATATAAGCTTAGGAAAATCATATGGTGTCTGGGAACAAAGATTAAAGAAAGAAGAAAGAAAGAAAGAAAGAAAGAAAGAAAAGGATATCTATCATTTATAGCAAGGTGCAAAAAATAAAAAAGTTATGACTTAGAATTTTAGTTCGAAATCTAATAAGAGTTTGAATGCAATTTTCTTGGATAAATAATCTCTAATCGAAGTTGATTGGGCATATGAAGACCTATATTTATAAATGAATACTAGACAGCAATTAAGCAAATTGCACATGTATTAAAATTTACAATAAAAAAAACATTGTTTTATATATTATTTGAGAATAAAAATTTAGTGAATTATCGAAATTTGCCTGCCAAGAAATACGCTATACGACATTTCGCGATTAGAAATATGCTATGCATGTTAATTCTTAAAGTTGGCCAAATATTAGATAATCATTAGAAGTAGTGTCAACGGTATATGCTGGGCGAACTTCCTATTGAAGATCCCAAGGATGCAAATAGCTTCTTTTAATTATGTTAGTAAATTTTTTCTAAAATGGATGATAATTAATTTTATAAATATTTTTTTAAATTTTGTATCGTCGCGCGTTTTTCCGTGTAGAAAAATATTAGCCACGAAATAGACTACACGGCTCACCCAAATAGGCTGAGGCGGAATTTCGTGAGCAAAATATCCTTGACAAGCCTTGGTCTGCATATAGCCCTGCCAATTCAATTTTTTTCTGACAAGCGGTTCTGCTCAAAAATATTTGTTAATATATAAATTTAAACCCGTTTCATTTAAAATTTAATAACTAGAAATTGCTATTTGCTTTCTTCAATATCAAAGATAAATTCCTTATTATTATTAAATTTTTGATAATAACAAGAAAAAACATTATTTTCTATGTTATTTTTTTTAAAATAAATAATTATTATGTATTAAGCCTGAACCCCGCCCATAATATTTTATAAGGTTCGAGTTTGGCTAATATTTATAAACTAGACCATTATTTTATCCGCAGGTTCATGCAGTTTGACGATCATATATCTATATATTTTATCTTACTTCACTCTCGTCTATTGTAATATGAGCATTATCTTTAGGAATAATTCTATCATCTACCACTAACGATTCATCTTCAGAACTATATTTTTTTTTAAAAAATGAAAATTAACACTATAAAGCACTGAATAAATATCTATGATTTATCGAATTCATTTCGTTATCTAGAATATTTTTCTCCTATGTGTAACTAGTTTACAAAAATTTCTCACTGTATTATATCATGCTTAAAGTACCATTTTTCTGGGAATCAGAGCCATAACATAAATATCAGTTTTAGTTCAGATAAAATTAATGATTCATTACAGTTTCGGCTCTTAAATATGAAAATATCAGCTTGATTCGAACTTCTAAAAGTCGGTTCAAAATTTTTGGCATATAATAATTTTGAGAATCATATCAAAAGAAGTATAATTTTTAAATTTGATCTCTAAAAAGCAATTAAAGTTTATTATATTATTAAGACACATAAAAATAAAACAGTTGAATATTAAATGGTTTAAGCGGTTTATATATCCTTTTTTTCGAGGTTCAGGTTTGGGTGACAAAAGTTTTAACGGTGGGTTTGGTTAAAGCTTAGCTATAATAAATGACAGGTCGATTTAAGTTAGCTGTGAATCTCTGTTCTTTATATATATATTTGGAGATTTGGTTAATTTAAATGCAGTATATTACATATCCTTTTAAGAAATAAGTTAGATAAGGAAGTGTGTAAATTATATTAGGAAAAAAATTTTTTTTTCAATTTTTGTTAAAGTCCATTATGATTCTCTATAAATTTTATAAATTCATAATTAATTTATTTACAATTTTGGCATATCATCCGGAACACTATAACCTAAAGATATCCCTCTGCTCACTGAAACGTCAAACGAATCTTTGAATTTAATTCCCTTGAATAAATAAATTTCTTGCTGTCCCTCTAAAGGTATATCGGATATATTCATAGTGCCTACTTCGCATAATTTGCCACAGGTTTTGATGTATGGGTAGTAACACAATTTGCTATTCATTTTAAACGAATCATGATTTCTTTCGGGAATCAGTATGACTGAATTTCCGATCTCCAAGATGTCGTAAGTGGTTAGGGCTAAGTATAGACAAGTCAAAAATTTTGCTAGATTAATAGCGGCGCGAGAAAGGTAACCGAATTTGAAAGCCAAAATCATAGATTTAAAACCTCGCGATAATCTTTTCCAAAATATGTAAAATGGAGGAATATAAATTTTGCTCTTATTCGAATAATTTTGACCATCAGGTACCTCAATTATTCGATTTTTTAGAATGTGTTTAAATCAATTTAGTGAGTTTGAGTTATTATATTAAAAAATATCTAACCGAAGGTAATATAATATATATTGACTTATAGTTAATAACCTCATTTTTTTCATATATATATATATATATATCAATAATTTCCCTTGAAATTTCTGCCAAAATTAATAAAAGTAAAATTTTATTTTTTTGAGGTATGGTATCAAATATCATATTTCTATATCTAATTATTCCAGTTTTATAAATGAAATCAAAACCGTTTAAATTAATGTTTAAAAAAAATCATAATATTTAATTTACTATATAAAAAATTATTTAAATTTTTTGCGTGACATTTTTAATATGTTTTTTGGCCATATTTTTGAAAAAAAATATATATTAAAACTCTGTGTTTCGATAAATATTGTCATTATCATCTTCGTTCGATAGAATGAAATAAAATTTTAATAAAATTATTTTAAAGCCAAAAAATAATATATAAACATTTTTATTTTTTTTTACTATATTTTTAGATTGTGTTTTATTTTTTTAAATATTGTCCTTTTTGTTATTTTGAATTTTTTTCTCTTCTAATTCGCAATCGTTTAGTAACTATTTATATTAAATAAATTTTAATTCTTTATAATAAGTGACAAATTAGTTATCTATATATATTACCTGATATAATTTTTTTTTTAAATAGTATAAAAGATTGATTTTTAAAAATAATTACGAAAATTATTAAAATGATTGAAAAATTAGGAAAAATTAGACAGAAAAGGCACACACACAATATTG